GCACTCAAGATAGTAATTTTTTTCGCTTCTTTCAGAATTTTCCTGCAAAAATTACATAAAGTGCTACTTACGCAGAGCTTATCTTAATTTTAAAATGTTAAACTATAGGGACAGCAGCTAGTCAACAGCACCCACAGCTAACTCTTGGGGGTAAGTGTGCCACCTTATAGCGCATCCAGAGCCCCAGAATGCGGAACGTGTTTTTGTGGCAATGTACAACGAAACTGTGAACCCTCGAATTCACAGTCCGAGCATGTTGACCACTAGACCACGTCCTCCTAACTGGTGGTTTTTACTCTAGACGTACCAAGAAGTGTGTTTAACATTCAAACAATTATGAACGGTGGTTCTGAGGTAAGTCTAAGGGCTTGTAACGCTAAAAATCTGATTTCGATACCTGAAGTTGACAGAGCACAGATAACCCATAGCGTAGCTTTGCGCTTAATACCAAATTGCTATGAACGTAATGACGTATCACGTCGTTTAATCCGCTGAAACTTCCTGATTAAATTGGAAACAGATAAATGAAACTGAAGATAATTCGGAGGCGTTAATACTCATTTCATGAGTGTTTTCATGTAAATATTATGAAACTGAACTATTAGTAACGTAAAACAGTCCTAAAAATGCATGAACAGACAGCTATAACCAGCATCAAGGCTTAAAGATATGAACAATGAGAGGGTATTTTCTAACCCCTTCATTTTATAAATCCATTAATCATTCTTTGTTATAAATTACAAGCCATTTTTTAACTAGCCTTATAATTCTAACCGGTTCGGCCAAACTTTCATAAATATTTTCCCCGATTAGTTAGTTCGGGAGCTCTAAATTAAAATTAAGAAAATTAACGAAAGAATACTGAAAAATGCATTCAACATACTAATAGATTTGTCGAATCAAACACACAAACTCGGTTAAAAAATGCAGACACAGTCTCGTTACCAAGCTGGCGAAGAAACATTTAGCCCCATGCATCATGACTTATGGATTAGAGAAGGAAATTGATTTTATATTTACTACCGAGTCAAACTTTCGTATACATTGAAGTAAAAAACAAACTGATTTATCTCATTTTTCTCATAACTCTAAGGTTCACTGGATGTCACCTGAGAGAGTAAAACAAAATTTGAAAAATGGGAATTAGTAGATTATTTTTTTAACTGAGAGTTTGTTTGTTTGAAGTTAAGCACAAAGCTACACAGTGGGCTAGCTTTGCTCTGCCAACCACGAGTATCGAAACCCGGTTTCTAGCGTTGTAAGTCCGCAGACATACCGCTGTGCCACCGGGGAGCTTTAACTGAGAGACTCTTAATCTGAGGGTTGCAAGTTCGAATCCCGGTTCCATCAAACATGCTCGCCCTTTCAGCCGTGGGGGCGTTATAATGTGACGGTCAATACCACCATTCGTTAGTAAAAGAGTAGCTCAAGAGGTTGCGGTGGGTGGTAATGACTAGCTGTCTTCCCTCTAGTCTTTCACTGCTAAATTAGGGACGGCTAGCGCAGATAGCCCTCGTGTAGCTTTGCGCGAAATTCAAACCAAACTAAAATCATGCTTGTGTTGATACAGCTTACCTGGTTTTATTTCTGAAAAAAAAAGTTGAACCTCAGTAAATAACTGAATCAGACTTAAGAGTTAGATGTATGTAAAATAATTGTTGGGACTGGGACTCAAACCCGCGACCCTCGGATTGCGAGTCGAGCTCCCTGGCCATGCCAAGTCCATGATTTCAGTTAGGCCACTCCAAGTTACTTAAACGTACAAAATTATATCATAGCACTAAACAAACTGTTAGATGTTTCTGTATTCTTCTTTTCGTTCTTAACTGTAAAATTTGCAAAAGCACTTATATCACAATGTTGTAGGAGATTTTGTTTTCTTAATGTGTCGATTAGTCGATATAAAACAAGCTTCTTGATCGTCTGACAACATGACATCAAAACAAGGGAAGGGACATGCTACTGTATAACATCATAAACTTTGTTTTAGTTAGAACTATGCGATAGTCACAAACTTTCTAAATAACAACGTTGTTGGGATTACGCCCGAACATTTAACAACTAACGATTCATCGCATTCTTATTGTTGTACATCTGGGGGTTTCTGACATTAGATGTATTTCCAGTCAGTTTTTACGCAGGAATGTTTGCACGATATGTTTGAACCCAAACTTTTTTCGTTTCTATTAAAAATATAAGAAATACATGTGTGTGTGTTTATGGTGGAAATGCAAAGATAATGAGCTAGATCTAAGGTACTTTCAAAATACAATGATGTATACGAATGTTTTAAATTAGTCATTAGAGACTATTACAGTGCTATGAGTTATGTTTATTTTAATTTAGACGTTTGTATATATAATTGGAATCTTTTGTTTGTAATTTGTAATTAAGCACAAAGCTACACAATA